GTCCTCAAGGAGAAATCCTTGCTCTTCAGCACTTGAAAGAGTTCCTTCACAGCTGACCTGCCCAGTGCTATACATCATCTAATGTCCTGACTGCTTCTTCCATTGGCATCGATTGTAGAACCAAGCAATGTGAATTCTTTGACAACCTCAATCTTTTCTCCATTTATTGTGATGCTGCTTATTGGTCCAGTTGTGAGGATTTTTGTTTTCTTTATATTGAGACGTAATCCATATTGCAGACTGTATTCTTCAGTCTTCATCAGTAAGTGCAAGGCATCCTCACTTTCAGCAAACAGAGTTGTATCATCAGCGTATCTCAGGTTGTTAATGATTCTTCCTCCAATCCCGATGCCACATTTTTCTTCATGTAGTCCAGCTTCTCAGATTACTTGCTCAGCATGTAGATTGAATAAGTGTGAAGAAAAGATACAACACTGACACACTCCCTTCTTGATTTTAAACCACGTAGTATCCCCTTGTTCCGTTCGAAGGACAGCCTCCTGGTCAAGGTACAGGTTCCTCATGAGTACAATCAAGTGTTTGGGAATTCCCATTCTTCTCAATGTTATCCATAATTTGTCATGATCCACAAAATCAAATGCATAGTCAATAAAACACAAGTAAACATCTTTCTGGTATTCTTTGCCTTGAGCCAAGATCCATCTGACAACAGCTATGATATGTCTTGTTTCATGTCCTCGTCTGAATCCAGCTTGTACCTCTGGAAGTTCTCTGTCAATATACTGCTCCAATAATTTTTGAGTTATTTTCAGTAAGATCTTACTTGCGTGCAATATTAATGATATTGTTCGATAATTTCCACATTGTGTGGGATCACCTTTCTTTGGAATGGGTACAAATATGGATTTCTTCCAGTCAGTTGGCCAGGTAGCTGTCTTCCAAATCTCTTGTCATAACCGAGTGAGTGCCTCCAGTGTGGCATCTGTTTGTTGAAATATCTCAATGGTTATTCCATCAATTCCTGGAGCCTTGTTCTTCGCCAATTCCTTCAGTGCAGCTTCGACTTCCTCCTTCAATACCATTGGTTCTTGATCATATGCCACCTTCTGAAACGGATGAAGATCTACCAGTTCTTTTTGGTATAGTGACTGTGTATTCCTTCCATCTTCTTTTGATGTTTCCTGCATCATTCAATTCTTTCAGCTTGAAAAATGCCAAGTGTGGTCTTCCCTTTTGGTTTTCTAACTCCAGGTCTTTGCACATTTCACCATAGTAATTGGCTTTATCTACTTGAGCTGCTCTTTGAAATCTTTGGTTCAGCTCTTTCATCTTGTCATTTCTTCCATTTGCTTTAGCTATTCTCCACTCAAGGACAAGCTTCAGAGTCTCATCTGTCATCGATTTTGGTCTTCTTTTCTTGTCTTTTTAGTGACTTCTTGCTTTCTTCATGGATGATGTTCTTGATGTCTTCCCACAATTCTTCTGTTTTTCGGTCATTGGTATTCAGTGCATTGAATCTATTCTTTAGATGGTCCCTAAATTCAGGAGGAATATATTCAAGATCATATTTTGGCTCTAATGGACTCATTTTAATTGTCTTCAACTTCAAGTTGAACATGCATATGAACAGTTGATGGTCTGTTCCACAATCAGCTCCTGGCCTTGTTTTGGCTGAAGATATTGAGCTTTTCCATCACCTCTTGTCACAGATGTAGTCAGTCTGATTCCTGTGTGTTCCATCTGGTGAAGTCCACGTGTAGAGCTGCTGTTTGTGCTGTTGAAAAAAGGTATTTGCAATGAATGAGTCACTGGTTTTGCAAAATTCTACCATGCGATTTCCAGCATTATTTCTGTCACTATGGCCAAATTTTCCA